GACCTCGGAGCTCCCGCCCATCCAGCACTGCACCGTCCATGGCATCCATGGCGTCTTCGGCATCGCGCTTGTCGTGGAAACGGACGAAGGCAAAGCCGCGACTCTCCTTGGTGTAGCGGTCTCGGGGGATGTAGACGTCCCCCACCCGCCCGTACTTCTCAAAGACCCGCCGCAGCGTGTCCGGAGACGTGCGGTAGGTCAGATTATCCACCTTCAGGGAAGTCATGCCCTCCACATCGGGAGGGGGGCGCCCGTAGCTCATGGCGGGAGGGGGGCCCCCCGGGGGGGCGGTACTGAAAAGAGAAACCGGGCGAAGCGATCAGGAGAGTCGGTAGCGGGTCTGGCCTTGAGGGTCCTCAAGCCAGGAAGCGGGCCCGAACTCAGGGCAGAAATCTGGAAAACGACAGAAAACAGCCCAGTAAAGGCGAGGCCGAGAATGTGGGAGGGCAAATACAGCACAGCCACCACCCGCCTCTTCCCGCTGCTACTAGCAAATGAACAAGGTGGAGCCCGCGCCCTCCTACTTAACGCTACAAAATGGCCGCTTCTGACCCGGAAGCGAAGCGGGTCTCCGCGCGCGCCTCTCGTGCTCTCTCTGTCCCTATCACGATTGCTGCATTATTTTTCATCTTTTTACGAGGTTTACGGAAGCGGTTGCGAAACATCTGCGGTGTGTCCGAATCTAAACGAATAATTCGGCGATCCCACAAAGGGGCCGTTGGGGCCGCTAAGCCGTGACCCCGGAAGGGATTGTCTGAGGCGGGGAAATTTTGAAAGAAATGTGGCCTGAAAATCGGGACAAAGATTAAGAGTGAATGTTCGTGCCGTGGGGAAAGGAGGAAAACTCCACAGAACGCGGGATTTCTGGGCGAAGCCTCCCGCGCCGAAGCAGCGCGGAGCAGTTGAGGAAGGAAACGTTTCAAAATGGCGGCCGATCAGCAGAAAGGGCTGGTGGGTGTGAGGGGGAGGGAAGGTGTGAGCCTGCCAGGCTGTGTTGTGTATGAATGACAGGGACAGGAACCCGGCTCCAGGGCACGGGAGGAGGCGATAGCAAAGTTCACCCCAAGCTGCAGTGACTGTGCACAGTCACCAGTATTGGGGGTTGGTCAGTGAGGAGCCACCCGCTTTAGAGATGGTTTCAACAAAAATGCAAAACACACTTGACATGACATCACAATCTGCATTACCTCTTATTTAGAAAATACCGGACATTTATATTTTCTCAATTTGTTTCCCGAACAGAAAGCTCAAATACTGGACTGTGGTTCACAACTGGCCACATGGCAACCCTGGAGATACTGGCAGCGAGGGCAGCTGGACCCCACCCCATGCATGCACCATCTGGGGCTCTGGTTCTATGGTAGTGGTTTCCAGCCTTCTCAAGCAGGAGCTAACTTTTTAAATTTAATTGCAATCCAAGATCTACCTCAAGCCCAGATACCCATATCCCACCTCTTTTGTGCCCCTTCTCTGAGGCCCTGGCCCTGCTCGCTCTAGCCTCCCTCCCTCACCCTCGATCTCTTTCACCAGTCTGGGACAGAGGGCTGGGGTGCTCTGGTCTTGGATTAAGGGATCTGGAGTGTGAGAGGAGTTCTGAGCTAAGCGTGGGGCAGGCAATTGGAGTGCCAGAGGGGGTTCTAGGTGCAGGTTCTGGGAGGGTGTTTGGATGCAGGGGTGCTAGGGCAGGGGTTTGGGGTGCAGGAGAAGGTTCATGACTGGGGTAGGGTTTTGGGATGTGGGCACCAGCTGGGCACTGCTTACCTCAGGTGGCTCAGTGGGGCTAAGGCAGGCTCACCCCCGCCCTGGTCCTGCACCAGTTCCAAAAGCATTCAGCAAACTCCCTCCATCCCGAGTCCTGCTGTGGCCCCCTCTACCTCCCCACCCCCCCGTAGAGATAGGATACAGGGTGGAGAGGGGGCTCCTTGACATTAGCACCCCCTCCTCTCTTTCTCCTGCCCCGCACAGAAAAACAAAGGCTCCTGAGGAGACAGCTCCAAGGGAAAAGGCAGGAGACGTGCAGCAGTCTCGAGGGTGGGGGGAAACGGAAGTGCTGGGCTCAGTAACCTCTTGGCCAAACCAGTTAGGATCACCTGTTACAGACCAAGATCTATGAGTAGATCCCGATCTACTGGTTGGTGACCACTGTTCTACGGGATGGGAGCCCTTATCATATGCCCCTTTTGGGCACAGACATGCAGCTATCATGCTAGCCATTCCCATTAAAGCCCCATTTCTTCCCCGCACATGGATCACCAGGGTTCGACAGACTATAGAATCTACTCGCCCATGGCGACTAGATTTCAGCCACACGCCCCGTTTACTGGCGGCGTGTGCATGCGCAATGCGGGGCTGGCGAGCGGCTTTCGCTGCTGTTGGTCAAGTCCTGTGGATTGCCACTGTATGGGTCAGTGCACGAAACTCGATGCTGGTGCAGCGGTGTTAAGGATCCTTCTACATACAGAGCCCCCACATAGGAGGAAGAGTACATTTTACCTGCGCCTGAATGTAAGGAGGGTGGAGCGCAGCTCAGGCTGCAAATTGTGCTGTGTGTGCAGGACAGGGCCCCTGTTACAAATTTGTACCTGCCTGAAAAAATTATGCTTGGGCTCTGCCTACATGCCCATGCTCTCCCTTTTCAACCTGGGTGCAGAAAATGTCATTTTAACCCTCCACTACTGAATCCACATAGTGTGGGAGATACAAACTGAAACTCTCAGCACATTCATACCCACTTGTTCTGCTATTTCAAGGATAGCATGAGGCTCTACCTCAAGCTGCAAGTGTAGTGTCCGGCAGGGGCGGATATAGGGCAGGGCGAGTGGGGCAGCCGCCCCGAGCTCCGCGCTTCAAGAAGCCCCACGCATGCGCCGTGGCAAAGGGGGCCCCCGCGAAATTGTGCTGCTCTGGGCCCCGCAAAATGGTCATCTGCCCCTGGTGTCCGGGTATTGTGTAAAACTCCTTCCCTTTCTTTTCCCTGCCAAACACACTCCGTGCCACTATACTGTGGTCAGGGAAGGGGTATCCCATTCAAGTGCCAAATCCCACCCTGCCATAGTGTGTGAAAGTAGCATTCCCTCCCAAACATATCCTGGTAGTTTCTTTATTGGGATGGTAGCAATAGTGGCTGCATCTAGACTACATTCCTCTTTCGAAAGAGGAATGTAAATGAAGGAAATTGAAAATGTAAATGAAATGCAGATTTACTCTTGCGCTTCATTTGCATAATCACATCTGATTGCTTTTTTGAAAAAGTTTTCGGGAAAAAAAAGGTAGTCTATATGCGGTTCTTTTGGAAAAAACTTTTTCAAAAGAACCCTTATTCCTGAAAAAATGAGGTTTATAGGGTTCTTTCAAAAAAGGATTTTTTTCGAAAGAACCGCGTCTAGACTGCTTTTTTTCTAAAAAACCTTTTTTGAAAAAGTGATCGGACGCGATTATGCAAATGAAGCGTGAGATTTGTAAATCTGTGCTTCATTTGCATGTTTGATTTCCTTCATTTACATTCCTCTTTCGAAAGAGGAATGTAAATGAAGGAAATCAAACATGCAAATGAAGCACAGATTTACAAATCTCACGCTTCATTTGCATAATCGCGTCCGATCACTTTTTCAAAAAAGGTTTTTTAGAAAAAAAGCAGTCTAGACGCGGTTCTTTCGAAAAAAATCCTTTTTTGAAAGAACCCTATAAACCTCATTTTTTCAGGAATAAGGGTTCTTTTGAAAAAGTTTTTTCCAAAAGAACCGCATATAGACTACCTTTTTTTTCCCGAAAACTTTTTCAAAAAAGCAATCAGATGTGATTATGCAAATGAAGCGCAAGAGTAAATCTGCATTTCATTTACATTTTCAATTTCCTTCATTTACATTCCTCTTTCGAAAGAGGAATGTAGTCTAGATGCACGCAATGGGAGAGTACTGAGATAGACTGGAATTTGGAATTGTTACTTCTCAGTTGTCTACACTTAGGGTGACCAAATAGCAAATGTGAAAAATCAGGAAAGTGGGAGGTAATAGGCACCTATATAAGACAAAGTCCCATATATCAGGACTGTTCCTATAAAATCAGGACATCTGGTCACAGTATCTATCCCTTCTCAAACTGGTATAGAAGAGATACAATCTGCCTATCCATACTTGGACTGTGACCATACTTCACTAACCTGTGGTGCTGTATCAGTGTTAGTGTGAAAGTGGGAAATTTGGCATTGTTTTCAATTACACTAGTATAATACCTCTACTACTATTACTACTACTAACAATAATAATAATGACTAATACTTATGTAGCTCATTATTAAATGTTTATGATTGTGACCTTTAGACATTACTTTGTTTAAAAAGAAAATAAATTGAAATGAAGGAGACTTCATTTCCAAAGATCTCTGGGATTACAGTGTGAAGGAGAGATTTTTAAAAGCTAGTATTAAGATTTTACTTTTTGTTCTTAGTATAGTGCTTTGTTTAATAAATACTCAGTAGTGAAAATCTGCCATATGTGAGATTCTGTCTGTCTGTGTGTTCAAGAACTCCTCCTAGATAGAAAAAATGGAGTTCATTCATCTGAAGAAGTGGGTTGTACCCACAAAAGCTCATGATACTATCTACATGTTTTGTTAGTCTTTAAGGTGCTGCTAGGTTATTTGTTATTTTTTAAGTTTATCTAGTTACAGACTAACTTGGCTATCCCTCTGAAGCTTTTCCTCCTAAAGAGTAGGAGCTAGGACCACCAAATTTGGTATACAGCTTTCTCTTATAACTTAAAACAAAGTAAGGGTTTAGTTGTGCCAAGAAAATGGGATTCTTTCTCATAAAACCGAACAGAAAAGAGACAGAATCAGCAGGCAGTTGAAAGGTGCTAGCTGGAAGTGTTCCCCTGGGTGCCCCAGCCTTGAGCCTCTCATCCCCAGGTGCTCTTTAGGAAGTGTGGGCTGAAGCTCACCCCCAATACATACAGGGATGTTGCTAGCTGTCCCCCTACATCAGGGAGCAAGTGGAAAATGCAGTTTGCTTCATTCCTCACTCTGACGGGAACACGGGGAACAGATGAACATGAGCCTGCCCCAGGTGGGGAACATGCACTCCTCATTCTGCTACAAAGACCTTTTACATCTGCACTTGAAAGGGAATCCTCTGAACTGTCATTCATGTTAAAATTCGACACTCTCCAAAGAGGATTGAACAAACACTTGAACTATCTTACACATTATCAAGATAGCTTTCCCAAATATCACCTCTAATACCATTAACTCACAAACATCCCACTCTCCCCACCTCTAATATTGTCAATTCACAGACACTTACCTTCCTTCCTTCCTCCCCCCCCCCCGCATCCCCCTCTTGTTCTGAAATGTGATTTGTCCTTTTCATATGTGTTAATTTTTTTTAATTGTATCCTTTGGTATATATGGTTGTGACTATTTTCTTCCACTATTTGATCTTAGGAAGTGGGTCTGGCCCACGAAAGCTCATCATCTAATAAACCATCTTGTTAGTCTTTAAAGTGCTACATTGTCCTGCATTTTGCTTCCTCTTCTGGGTGTGGCTACTGGAGCTGCAGTGGCCATGGAGAGATGCTTTGCCTCTGGCCCCAATCTGCTGAAGTGAGAGAGGGCTGGGGTAGTCCTGTTTTACCAGGGCAATTTGCATACTAATCTCCAGCTGATCTCCTAATCTTCAGCCTCACCCCAGAGCAATGATTTAAATACAAAAAAATTAATTGAGTTCAGGACCAGAGCAACATGGGGAAATCTTCTTGTAACAGATAATAAGAAGCAATAATGTTGACATAAAACCAAGAAGCAAGATATTTCCTGCATGAGAAATCTAAATTAAGGGAATAATGTACCGCTTATTTTTATGTGTTTTATTGCTTCTTGTTATTTATTCATTTCACACAGAACAGTAAGATTTAAAATTTCTTGTTGAATCACACCACAAAATATTTCATGTCAAGAGAGATGCTAAAATCTGCTTTACAGTGAGCCCCTCAAAATTGTACAGGGAGTCTCCCTACAAATCACTTGTTGTGTTTGTGTAAGTGTGGTTCTAGTTTCAGATAAAATGCTGTACAGTTTTGCAAAATAATAGTTGAGAAATCTTAATATTGAATAAGTAATGCAGTGTTTTAGCTGTTGTTGGAAGGGTGTGTTCTGGATAAGCCTTTTAAGGCAGGAACAAATGCTGGGTGAAACCATGAGACTTCACTGAAGTCTATGGGAGTTTTTGTCATTAACTTCAGCTGGCCTAATTCTACCCTATGTCTTTGTATGTGAGTGCACAGCAGTTAGCACAATCTTGACTGGTGTCTCTGCGTAGTCTTGTGATAAAAGTGCAAAATAATAATAGTAGGAAGTGGGGGTAGACTTAATATGAGATGTCTGACTTCCTTTTCCTACTTTACTCACTTTCTAAAATAGGATCTTTAGGATTACTTATTTTTTTACAAACATTACAAAACTCAATGCATAAATATATTAGCTTTTAAATAATAGGTTTTATGTTGGAAGGATTTGAAGGCAAAATATTGAATGATGATAGAGACAGCTATTTCACTTCCTGTTCAGTGTGCATGACCAACAACAGAAACAATGAGAGATACTGTGCATGTGTGTCAGTTACAATGAACTATTTCCTTTCATTTCTCTTGTGTTTATTGGAAGGATTCACTAAGGTTTTCAGTCTTCACTTATGAATGCTTTTTGCATGACTGATGACAATTTTCTTAAAAGACAACTTTCTAAGATATTTGGTTTCTTGCTCAAAGTATTATTGGCTAAAGGTTTCAGAATATTATTTACAGAAGCACAAACATACTATTGTTATTTTAAGTAATATAATAGATTTACTCTTTTTAAAGTCAAAGATTGCTGAGACTGCATCTCCCAGAGTGCATCTAGCTTGAATCAGCTGACATGGGTTGTGAAATGTTCCTTATTTCCTGCTCAGCCTGAATGGACATGGTTTGTGTGTATGAGTGTCTTTTTCTTTCCTTTGTCAGGTGATTTAATGTCTTTTGACTAAAATCTGATTCAAGCAATTGTGACAAGGAAGTGAGCTGATTTATTAACTTAGCTGGTGGGAAACTACTGGGGGGAAGGGATGTCACGAAGAAATAATACACTGCACCCTGTTTGGATATCTTCATGTGAAAGGTAGAAAGGATCTAAATAATCTTCACAACTCTTATTAAACCATTGCATTTGTTTTAGTATTTATTTTTTATTTACAGTGGAGCACTAGACCTCTTGACTAGTCAGTGAATATTTTTAACACTTAACTATTAGTTTTACATAACATTTCTTTCTGAAGGTTTTTTTTTCTTTTTCTTTTGGCAGAACTTAAAAGGAAGCTTTAGAAGAAAAACAGAACTTCTCCGGACTGAAGAGCACAACTTCCTAAAGAAAAACAAAATGTCTCCTAAACCAAAAAAGCTTTTTAACATAATTATGTTAGGAGTTGCTTTTATGTTTATGTTTACTGCCTTCCAAACTTGTGGAAATATTGCGGTAAGTGCAAGTATCCGTACACTCCACATCCTTTCCTTTCTTTCAGCCATCCCAATTCTAACAGTGGTTTTGTTAAGGGATCCAAAGGGCATGGTAACATTACAGTTTATCTGTGTTTCTATTGATTTAGAATTTGCATAGATGCTTAAGTAATCTGTTTCTTTATGAGAGTAAAACAGTGATGGTGGTTTAGACCAAAAAATAAGTTAATGAATGACATTCAACTTTTAAATAATATCTGCTCTGTCAGTTATATGTCCCAGTTATTGAATTAATCTGTATCATGTCATGTTTCTGAGGGTTTTTTTAAATAATTTTGCTTTAAAACAATTGACTTGGGTGTTGTTATTTGTAACTTTGTCACCTATTTTCTCCTGGTTGATGAATCTTCCTAATCTTACATTTTCTCTATGTAATTACAAGCTGGAGATTGAAGGAATATGAATACAGTGAGTGGTCATACTGTCACAATTGACAGAACTGCCTAGTCACCTTACATCTCACTAAATAATTTACTGCCAGTTTTTGTCTACTTTAATGCAAGCAAGCAAATTGAACATGTCTGCCATATTTAGAAACACTCTCATTATTTTCAGTAGGTATTCCTTATTTATAGATACCGTATTTTCCGGCGTATAAGACGACTTTTTATACTTAAAAAACATCCCCCAAAAATCGGGGGTCGTCTTATACGCCGGGTATAAACATACAGGCAGTCCCCAACTTGCAGGTACGAACGGGGCTTTTCTCGCCCCGGAGGACACGGACTGTGGGATCTCGCGGTCCCACCGCCCGTGTACTCCGGGGCGAGAAAAGCTGCTCCGCGTCTCCCTGGTCTGCAGACCAGGAAGACGCGGAGCAAAGCCGTGGAGGGGCTCGGGCAGCGGGGCAGCCCAGGCGCTTTGCAAAGCCTTGGGGGAAGCCGGCAGCGGGACAGCCCAGATACCCCACGGCCGGCCCCCTGCCTGGGGCCCCCGAAGGC